ACATTTTGTGACCTTGCACACTCAACAATCCTTTTGAGATTTTAGCGTTAATTACTGTTAAAGCCAAGGAAAAAATAAAAATACTGGATTTTTTTCATTTGAGCCGGGTCATGACAAAACCAACATAATGGCTTTGCGACCAGCATGGATCCAGACCACACATAGCTCTAAAAGTATATGGCCTAGAATTATGAATCCTTTTTTTCAGCTGCTGTTACACAGATTCTCCGAGTCTTGGAGACAATGCGAGAGAAGAATCGTGAAATTAAGAGGATAGTGCAGCGAATGCTGTTAAGGTCAGCAGCAGATGACCAACCGCTGCAACTTCCGAAAGATATCTCATTCCCTATTCGTTATCCTGAGCAGATGGAATCATTCGATAAGCCTCTGGGAGATCAGACAATGCTCTCTTCTGTGGTAAGCATAGTGTTAGTCATGTATGTTGCTCCATTAGTAACTGAAAAAGTATACCCCATATCCACTGGCCTAAAAGCGAAATAACATAATGGTCTGTGGTGAGCACTTGATGATAATGTATAATCATTCTGCTATATTTATGTTGGAAAATATTGCACAGTGGACAAACACTTTGCTGCATTAATTTCAAAATTAAAAACTGGCATGTTTCAATTTTTTGATTCATATTGACACAGTTATGTTATTTATATATGCTATAATAGCCATGAGCACAAGACATGGGCAGTTGGCCTCGTTTTCAACATTAATTATTAATTAGGACAAGACAGTCAATTCATTAATCAAAATGCTGGCAGCTTTCAAAATACCAGGAAAATGACTAGTACCCACAAAATCCAGGAATTGAGCTGTTATTATATTATCAAAAATTATTCTGTTGATATTGAATAAACTCTTGTATAAAAAAACAATGATAATGTGCCCCATAACACTCGGTGGAGGGGACAAACATAAAGGCACAAGTCACTAAGGTGTTGTCCTAGGCTGTAAATATATGAGGAAAGATCTTTTAATTTGTCAATCCAAACAGTTTTCTTGGCAGATTATGTTTTTGAGGTTCAGTTGACAATTATTTGTCATTTGGTGACTTGCAGCCCATCACTTAGTAGTGTTAAAATTAACATTAAAAAAAGTTTATGTTCTGCTTTATTTAAGGTGCGGTTCCTCTCAATGTTTGGTACGGCAGATGTACAGGAAACTGTTGACCGCTTGATGAAAGAAACCATGTCAAATGAACTGGCAAGAATGTACAATATGAAGTGGCTGAAGGGGAAGAAAAAGTTTGTGGGCCTCTAGATACTGAATGTATTATATAGTAAGTGATATTTTACAAAATTTGCAAAGTGGTGTCTTCAAAATAGATATATTATCCAAGATCTTGTTATTGTGTCTTCGGGTATTGCTTTAATGAAGGAAAATGCTTGACTAGCTTTTATGGAAATTAATAAGAGAGAATATTTTACATGCTGTGTGGTTTTGATCCCATGCATTGTGTTGTGATGCATAATATAAACAGAAATCACCTTCCTGTAAAGCAAGTTATTTGCTTGCCTTAACATTCTTTACTGATACACCGATAAGATGATCTCAGCTTACAACTGACTGTGCACAGCGATATCACAAAAATATTGTTAAAAGCTATGTAAAACCAGGAAACAAACATCTATATTTGGTAAAACATACCAGAATTAGTTTATATTCCAATTTATACTGCTCAGAATGCTACAAGGTGGCTTATGACCTTTGAATGGTTTCAATACCTTCATTTCACTTCATTTCATTCTTTAAGGATAAGAATGCTTGTTTTGTAGAATGTGTCCAAAGGAACTTGCCGACAAAGGCTGCAACGAGGAGGGATGTTGAAAAAGAGGTTTCAAAGTGGCTGGCTGGGGGGCGGGACCGCGATGGGGGAAGGAAAGCAAGAAACAAATTGTCAGAGACCTTACCTGAAGAAAATGAAGGAAGTGACTAGACATGTTTTTAATTTAAAAAATGCAAATTTATAGAGGATATTTGTTTGTTTGTGTGTAAGATGAAATTTTATATCATCAAGAGAGCTTTAAAAACAGTATTCTCATGAGTGGCTATGCGCTCGTGAGAACACTGTTTTTTAAAGTTCCTTCAATGATATAAAATTACATCTTCCACAACAAACAATAAAGTGTCTTTTTATTTTATGCTAATGAAATTTCCTCAATATTAACGTTAATATTAAATCTGTTTTCCCCACTGTTAACATCAATTTTAGTTGAATTTAAATCCAATTTCTCATAAATACAGGTAGTCTTGGGCTGAAAAAAAAAGTTTGACAATCAACGTTGAATAGCCATAATATTATTTATTGAATTCAAAAAATTTGAATGATGATAAAATCTTTAAAAAGTAGTCTCGTCATAGAAAAGTTTGAAATTTTAATCATTTCACTGTGAAATTATCAAATACATTTTTCACAGATACATCAGTAATACACTCAAAAGCATAAAATAAATGACTTATTTACATTTTCAAACCTTTACTTCATCTGCATATAAGTTATTCCACTGATTGAAAGTCAATATGTATCAAGGTATTTTTAAAATGTGATAAGGGTCAGAACTACAGTAAGCGGCTCATTTGTTTATCTTGTTATACTTTTTGTTGCTAATTTTAATGTTTTAGGTCATCAGCATAGCATGTCTTTCTTGTAAATGCAAAATTCTTGTCTAGTCAAATTTTGCCTTCTAGTCAGTATATTTTGCTGCTATGTTATGTTTGTTGTTGACATTATATGCTGTTTTTCTGTTGTCTATATGCTGTTGTTTTTTTTTCCCATTAAACATTGTTACTGCACGGAGGAAGGTAGTCTTGTACTGGTGTAACTCTCCAGAAACGATGGTTACGAAACTACCCGCCTATATGATGTTAAAGGCGTAAAATGAAACAAACAAACAAAAAACATTGTTACTATTTAAATCAAGACATTGAAAGCTTGGGGAATGTTTTTGATACTGATCAATACAATTATAACATCTTGTCAAAACTTGACACTAACAGGGAACACATGTATTGATATGGTATTAACCTTTAAAATAAAGTTGAAATACTTTACAATGATGATTCTTGTAATCTTTATTGTTGTTATTGTTGAAACTTTGATAATATCGGAGAAATTACTGAAACCAACTATTTTTACTGACAATTTTTTAATGAATTTCTTCACAACAAATTTGATCTTTGTGTAATATCACATTTTAATTATTATTGATTTTTACAAACTTGTACAAACTATTTTTTTACTTTTCATCAGCTGCATATTTTGTTTACATGTCTATAAACAGTATTTCAATGTGCCAAGATTTTGTGTATTATATTTGTCACTTTTCATTAGCTGCATATTTTGTTTACACGTCTATTAACAGAATTACAACCGTGCCAACCTTTTGTGTATCATATTTGTTACTTTAGCTGCATATTTTGTTAACACGTCTATATAAACAGTATTACAACCGTGCCAACCTTTTGTATTACTTTTTGTTACTTTTCATTAGCTGCATATTTTGTTGATAATTACAACAGTGCCAACCTTTTGTGTATTATATTTGTTACTTTTCATTAGCTGCATATTTTGTCCACACGACTATAAACAGTATTACAACCGTGCCAAGGTTTTGTTAATTATATTAATTTTTTTTCATCAGCTGCATAATATTTTGTTTACACATCTATGAACAGTATTACAACTGTGCCAAGGTTTTGTTTTATTATATTTGTTACTTTTCACGAGCTGCATAACATTTTTTTCTTCAGCACTACCATACCAAAGTGTAATACATGGTTGTAATGAACAACTTTTTATATTTATTGATGTAGATCTAATATCATTTGAAAATGAAAGTAATTGGTAGATAGAAATTTGTAATGAATTACAGTAAATGTATAATACTTTTTCTATGAATTATGTAGAAAGTTAAAAAAGACATTTGGGGTCATACTGTTGATTCACTGAAATTTTAAACATTATACACAGTTCCAAAGACCTTCTGTAAAGTTTTACCAGTGTCTAGCATAAGTTTCATTTTTCCTTATAGTGATCTGTAAGGTATCTAATGTTATAAAACTGCATTTTTAATTATTTTGTTCGTACATTATAAACAGTTTTCCATTACATGTTGCTTATTTAGTGTACCAAAGTAATATTTACTACATAGGACTTTTTGAATAATAATTAATATTTCTGTATTTTTGAATTAAAAACTATGTAGTCAAAATGAAATTCTGTGGATTTACAAATATGTACAGTTTACTCGGATTTTTATATTGTACACTTTTCTAAGTTTATTTACATAAGTAAAGGTTTCTTTGTTGACATCAGTCCACAGAATGTATTGAGAATCTGTATATATATGATATACACTTACCATAAGTGAGATTACTAAATAAAGTTACATTGTTAAAGCATATACATTGTGTATTGTTTTCTTGCATGATCATAAAGACTTTGTGCCATAATCTGTCTGTTCCAGGAAACAGAACGAGTTAAAACACCACTTGAATATTTAACGCAAGTACAAGAATCATGCTCTGTAGCAAGCGGTTGCTATCTAAACGTTCAGCAAACTTATAATTGAAGTAATTGAAAATAGATCTACCCCGGAATTCAAAATCTACCCATAATGGAAGTATCTGGGCTGCCCATTTGAAACCCATATTTAGTACAAGGGCTGCCCATATGGGGCCCATGTGGGGCCCATATTGTGTACATGGGCTGCCCAGATGGGGCCCATGTGAATCCCATATTGAGTATAAGGGCTGCCCAGAAGGGACCCATTTGGAACCCGGTTGCACTTCCTATATGGGGCCCATATGGGCAGCCCAAATGGGACCCATATAGGTGCCCATATGGGCCCCACATGGGTCCCATATAGAATGCTATCTGGGTTGGAGCTTCATACAGAAATGAATATCCTGAGATAAGAAGAGACGACAATGCTGATACTTTTGATGAAAAGAGCAAATATAGTACACCATGTTCTTTGACTAGATTCATGACATCTGCAGTACCTGAAATGGAAAGAAAAGATACAATTAGTTCAAATACATTAGAGAAAACTCATGTGAGAGAAAGTAGTGAAAATATTAAAAGAAATGAAGAAGAATTTGAATCATCCATTGATGGTACGTTCAATGAATTTAAAAGGAGAGTCCAAAAATTGAACTTTTCCGAGCTCATTGTAGATGATGTTATAGAAGATGATTGTTCAGGAAAGGATAGAGAATTAGAAAAGAAATCTTTGATAAAACAGGAAGAGATTACTACTGAAACAGAAAGAGAACGAAGGTAGCAGATAAGGAAAAGAGATAAACAAAGAGAAGATGCATTGATTGAAATGGAATGTTATTTGAAAAGATGAATCAGCTTGAAAGAGAACATAAGCTTGGTCAAGAATAAATGGTGCTGAGCAATGGTTCTGGTTAAGCATTGCCATGACAACTTCCTTCTCAATATGAACTACAAATGAAGGATTATCCCATTATGGCGAGGAAATACCATAGAAATTGGAAGAAGTTATTTATTCACGACGGTATTCTCTTTCATCGAATCATGTTTAGAGGAGATATTATGGAGCAAATTGTACTCCCAGAATCTGCCAAAATAAATATATTTAAAATCCTTCATTCTGATATGGGCCATCAGGGAAGAGACCGTACCACAAGTTTGTTTAAAGAAGGATTCTATTGGCCGGGTATGGACTCTTGACATTTCGTTGTGGGTGAGTCAGTGTGATAGGTGCATTCGTCAAAAGGTACCACCTACTTTAGCGACAGGGTTGGTGAACATCTGTTCTTCGGCGCCGATGGAGTTAGTATCCATTGACTACCTTTCGCTCGAGGTATCTAAGGGCGGCATAGAGAATGTACTTGTCATCATGGACCACTTCATTCGCTTTGCTCAGGCCATACCAACGAGGAACCAGACTGCTACTGCCACAACTAAAGCTCTCTTTGACCAAGCTTAGAATTTTCTCTCAAAGGTTATTAAGAGACCTTGTAGGATTGCTGGCATAAGAAGGCCAAGGAAGACCCAATACCACCCACAATCAAACGGACAAGTGGAGCGTTTTAACCAACCATTTCTTCAGATGTTTGGATGACAGGAAGAAAGACTGGAAAACAGCCATACCTTCACTTGTCCATGCGTATAATGCCACTTGTCATGAGAGCACTGGTTTTCACCTTACCAGCTGATGTTTGGTAGACCACCTAGATTAGCAATCGATGCATTTATTGGTCTCAAACGTCAGCATGTAAGCGGAACTTCTCCATCTGATTATATGCAGAAGCTAGAACAACAGCTTTGCGACGCATATCAAAGGGCTAACGATGCAGCGATCAGGAGTGGAGAACGGGGCAAGAAATACAATGATCAAAAAGGTTAAGGAATGTAAACTCATACCTGGAGATAGTGTTCTGGTCAGAAATGATGGACTCAAGGGAAAACAAAAACTTGCCAATGTCTGGGAAGAAGTACCTTACATAATTCAAAAACAGCCATATGAAGATCAGTATTTGCTGTAAAAAGGGAAGATGGCAAAACACGTGGTCTTCAAAGAAATATGTTGTAACCATTTACCAGCTTGCCGCCTTCTATCTCTGGCAACACTGATGAAAGTTCATCTGAACCTGAAAATTAATTCTGTTTTCCCTGATTCTTTTTCAGATTGTAACAGCTGTTCATCCTCTGCAGACAGATATCGACCTCCACACAGACGAGGACCAAATGAACCCGGACTTCTTCCTCGCAGAATACGACAGAAACCAGGTTGGATGACCTCGGGAGATTTCATGTTAGGTCAACATACGTTTACCGTGCCACGGGACCGCGTTGTTCTGGTGTAGATATCAGCCAACAGCTATCATGATAACACTATGACTTGTACCAATATCCTGATACACATATTGTAGATTTATAAAGTTTCTAATATATGTTATCTGACAAGAGCAATCTTATGTCAGTTTTGTAACTGCATTTATATAATGTTGTTATTGCTTAAATTGAATTGAGTGTTACATGTATATTACAATCTGGAAACAAAGTGATCCCTCGGACGCATTAATCACAACAAAATTACATAAGAATTGCAGACTCGGTTTGATTGAGTCTGTACATGAGGGATAATGAATAAGTGCATCTCTCACGCCCCCTAGCACCGGCTTGAGAGGTACTCAATTCTCAACACTTAATAGTGCTGGCATCAATGATCCCGAAGGACCAGAAAAATATAACAATTCTGGAAACAAAGTGATCCCTCGGGAGCATTAATCACAACAAAATTACAAGAGAATTGCAGACTCGGTTTGATTGAGTCTGTACATGAGGGATAATGGAAATGTGTAACATCATTCACGTCCCCTAGCACCGGCTTGAGCGGTACTCAATTCTCAACACTTAATAGTGCTGGCATAAACCATTTGTAACATTGTCCATCATATCTGAATAAATACAACGATAACACTTGATAGCATTGAACTTGTTTCTACAATATTCATGTCACCTTTATTTATGGGTAACATATCGCACACGCGAATTTGTAATAAATGCATTGTATCTACCTCGTTGCTATATTTTCACTTACGGTAATGTCGAGGACGAAATTTTTAAAGGAGGGTAAAGTGTTGCAGGTGCTTCAATTACTATATATATACTATAAATAAAATTCCCTCAAATAAATTATCCAATCATTAAATAGATAAATACAGAATCCGTGAAGAAAGCCCAACACGGCAAAATTGAAAATTTTGCAGACTCGGTTTGATTGAGCCTGTTCATGGACGGTACTGGAAAGTGCAAGTTACCGTCCACGTCCCCTAGCACCGGCTTAAGCAGAATTCAACATTTAAACATGAAATAGTGAAATTTTAAATTTAGCAACATCCGCAGATTGTTCATACATTCTATTTATCTATCTCTCTAACTGTGCACGTTACACCTTATTCTATCGTTATGCTAAATATTTGACTGTATTGACCAATCGCAATGTACAATATCGATGATACCATGTTATCATTGAATTGTATATTCGATTGAGAAATACATTTGAATAATTGCAAAATATGTATTGTTTTATATATATTTTCCAGGTAATTTTTATAGCATCTTGTTTGATATTCATGTTTCTACAATATTATATGTTAATATGTAAATCTGTTTCGTAAATAATGCTTTTGAAGATGTTTTTCTATGCGTCTTTGTGTAAACTGTATACGTCGCCATATTTGTTCATTGTTTACGTTGACAATATCGATAAGACTACCATGTTATCATTGAATTGTATATTTGATTGAGAAATACATTTGAATAATTGCAAAATATATATTGTTTTATATATATTTTCAAGTAAATGACCGCTGTCAGTCCATCTTATAACCCTCACTCTTCAGTCGACGAACTTATAAACCTTATCTACAGAATCATATGACATATATAATTATGAGACCCATACTGTAACATTAAGACAACATGTTCCTCCCGCATAAGTATGACAACATTGATGGTGATTACCCAACCCATTCGCAATGACGAAAGTGACTGTACAAATAGATAAGTTGGCAAGAAAGTTTTAATTTATATATTTTAAGAATGTTGAATTGAAAACAATATAAAGGTTTATGAAAGAAATAACCCAATGTTCATTTATTTTCGGCATACTTACTTATTGTTCTCGTATATTGATCGAGTGAGGAAATAACATGTTCAGTACTCATAACTTCATCAAAAATAAAAATATATTTCAATTTGCTTTTATTGTATATATGAGAATGCATTTGGTATAATGTATCTATTACGAAAACATGGCCATTTTGACAGTTGGCATATGCAGTTACCATCAGAAATACCCGTTTTCAAAATATCTTACACGTCAACATATATTTTTTTATGCCCCCGAAGGGTGGCATATTAAAATCGTACCGTCCGTCTGTCTGTCAGTCTGTCACTTAGTCTGTCAGTCCGTCATCCGTCCGGCTTTATACATATAAACAGTGGTGGTCGTATGACAGGATTTTTTTTCACAAATGAATTAACCATAGATGTCACTAACAAGACTCAAGTTCCAACGACTAAGATCAAGATCACTGCGGGGGTTCAACTTTGTCATTTTTTATGTTAAATAAATATATATAAATATAAAATATGGTGATAGTGTCCGCTCTGAAACTTCAGTATGCATGAAAGGACTGTAATTTTTCTTTCACATATGAAATAACCATATATGTATGGTGTGTCGCAAACAAGACTCGGGTTTCTACGAGATAGGTCAAGGTCACTGCGGGGGTTCAAACTTTGTCATTTTATTTATTTTATAAAAAATATAGAAGGTGGTGGATGTGTCCGCTCTGAAACTTCGGGATTCATGAAAGGATTGTAATTTTTCTTTCACATATGAATTAACCATAGATGTATGGTGTGACGCGAACAAGACTCATGTTCCTACGACAAAGGCCAAGGTCACTGTTGGAGTTCAAACTTTGTCATTTTTCTATTATATAAATATAGAAGGTGGTGGTAATGTCCGCTCTGAAACTTCATTATGCATAGAAAGGGTTTTAATTTTTCTTTCATATATCAATTAACCATAGTTGTATGGTGTGGTGCAAACAAGACTCGGGTTTCTACGACTCAGGTCAAGGTCACTGTGGGGGTTCAAACGTTGTCATTTTTTGTTATATAATTATAGAAGGTGGTGGTAATGTCCGCTCTGAAATTTCAGTATGCATGAAAGGATTGTTTTCACATATGAATTTACCATAGTTGAACGGTTTGTCACGAACAAGAATCGGGTTCCTACGACTGAGGTCAAGTCACTCTGGGCGTTCAAACCTTGTCATATTTTATGTTATATAAATATATATACTGGTGGTCGTTTCCGCTCCGAAACTTCAGTATGCATAAAATGATTTTAATTTTTCATTCATATATGAAATAACAATAGATGTATGGTGTATCGCGAACAAGACCTTGGTTTCTTTGACTAAGCTTAAGGTCCCTCTGGTAGTACAAACTTTCTCATTTGAAATTTTTATGTTATATAAATATAGAAGGTGGTGGTAATAACCGCTCTAAAACTTGGATATGCATGATAGGATTTTAATTTTTCTATCACATGTGAATTAACCATAAATGTATGGTGTGTCGCGAACTAGACTAGGGGTTTCTATGACTAAGGTCAATGTCACTGTGGGGTTCAAACTTACATTTTCTATTTCACAAATTAAATTATTATAATTGTACGACGTGTGTCCCTTTAGACCCGTGTTCCTAAGCCACAGTTCAAAGTCACTGCTCGGCTTTTAACTTTTTTAATCTTTATGTTATATTAATATTAATGGTTGTTGTTGTTTACGCTCTCTAATTTCCATATGCAAGAAAGTTTCCATTTTTATTTAAAAATTTAAAGTCGTCATAGATGAACAAGACCCAGGTTTCTTTGTCTTACTTAAAGGTCACTGCTTGGGTCAAATTTTTCCACCACTCTTAACATCTAATAGGTGGTTTAATACTAAAATCCTTCGGGGACATTTGTTACGTTCTGTGACAGCTTTAGTTTATTTTTTATTTTAAATTCAACATGAAAATTTACGTTTAAAATATAGAACATTCTATCACTGAATTTTTTTCGATATTCTCGTTTATTTACAGAATTAATGTTAATTTTTCTCATAATCTTTGTTAAGACATATGAAATAACCATTGTGTAAAGACAAATGTTCAATATATTGATTGTTCCATACAAAATTAAAATATAATATGATTATATAAAAGAAAGCACTAAGAAAATAATCTCATGCAAAACATCTGAGTGTCGACCAAAATCTCAAGTACAGTGGTATCTCCGAAATAGTACGGGACAGGATGAAAATAACCTTACACAGTCATCAACCCCAATTTACATTAATGGTGAATATGGTCTCAAGTCTGTGGAGAGTATACTACAATTTAGTCCAAATAGGACATCTTATAATTTACGTCTGTATTGTGAAGTGGGGACTAGAGCTGATGAATCTGATATAAAGAGCAGATAAATCATTGTAAATGTTACATGTAAGTCCACATTTTTGGTTTTAAAATCTTGTGAACTGTGTTTTTATTTCTATTTGAACAAAACAGTAACTTACATCTTGACTATGCTGAGCAATCAATAATACCCTTCAGGAAATAGTATTTTAATACTTACTACAAAATCTATCGCTACTTTGGTATTTCCCTGCTGATTTTATTACTTAATATGTTTTGTATTATTATTTAATGTCATAGCACATATTTTTATGTTCTGGTCAAAACACACCTCGAATGAAATTTAAGATTGCTGTTGAAAGTAAAAGTAACCGTCATATCTAACATATATTGTCTAATACCCTGAAGAAAGACGTTGTCAAACCATTAAAAATGTTTCTCTGATAGTTTAAAGACTCTCTGACGCTCAAGGGCTTTTGCACGAGTTAAAATTTAATCAAATACTTATAATGCAAATAAAACGCTTATAAATGCAACACATGCGATCAAGATTTGTTTTTCTTCCCTCCCTTGAAATATAGACATTGAACTTGACTACAGAAAATCTCAATTGTCCAGTAGAAAATGTTGGCACTAACTTGTAAGATTATGTTTACAGGTATACTATGGTTAAAAAAGAAAAAAAATCACCGAGTATTTCGATCCTGTTTGATTCTACAGTGAACTGTGTTTAGTCAAGATTTCCTTGACTGGAAATCACGAGTTTATTTCGTTATATTTCATTAGAATAGGACAATATTTTATATTTTCATTAAGTAAATTCATCTTTAATTCTAGAATGTATTTGTAGTCATGATCCTGTGTTATTGAACCATGATACAATTACCAAACCAAAAATACTCATTTTAAGTTAACGTTAAAATTACTTAACAAACTAGTTATGTTATTACTTTTGGGACAAGTAGTTAAAATAGGCGAAAATAAGTAAAGTTGAAATAAAATTAATGCTAGCATTTTGCTGAAGTACACGAAATATTCCAATTATGCGTAGTTAAGAATAAACATGCATTTCATACAAAAAATGATAAACTATGATATGTTTACGATTATTAAAAATAAACTAAGTTTGTGTTTTATAAGAATTTTACTAGATAAGCTATAATATATATTTGAAGTAAAACATTATAATTTGTATATTCATAAATCTCTAAATGAACAAATATAAAAGCTTCTTCATGTTCAAATTCAATTGACATAATTAAATTTATAACAAGCCTACTTAAGATAAATACTAATAAATAAATAAACTACAAAAATAGGGTTAAGAGTCAAACAGGTTACATTTCTGACATTTGTATTGTTTTTCAGATCCCCCTGATAATTCACCAGTTAAAAATGGATCTGTTTCTAGCAATATTATACAGGTCATTGAGTCAGACACAGTCACATTTGTTTGTTCGGAATCAGGAGGAAACCCACTGGCATCATTGAACTGGAACTGTTTCGACAGTCATGACTTAACAGTGAAAACCCAAGAGGTTATCGTATTAAGCACAGTTAAATGGACGAAATTGGACGATTATAGCACATGTTTCTGTACGTCAAATCACGTGTTAAGTAATTTGAAAAGAACAGCAAACGTTACAGTGAATGTACAATGTAAGTTTAAGTTATAATTTTCCTTGTGTGTGTGCGTGTGTGTGCGTAATTGTGTGAGTGCCATAAGATTATGCAAAAAAGACTAACATCTTATCTATTGAAAGCAACAAATTGACTGTTTACAAATAAAGACAAGCGACATTTGGTATACATTGTCATCAATTGTTAAATTTAATTTCAGATCTTACGATAACGTCCTAGTCTTTAAATTATATTTTGTTTGTGTTTTTAATTCACTGAAAATTCATTGCTTGATACTTTCGCAATTATTATTAAAATGATTTAGAAAAAGTGGTCATTATCCCCCACCGAAAGGCGGGGGTGGGGGATATAGAAATAGTTTCCGTCCGTCCTTCCGTCCGACATTTTTGCCCGAAGCATTTCTCCAAAAGTATTTGTCAATGAGGTATCAACTTGAAACTTCATAGATGAAAAGATCATATAAAGGAGGAATGCAGTGCAAAGAATGATAAACTCTGTCCTGCATAAATTTTCACTTATTGCCCTTTGTGTTTTTTCAAACTTAATTTTTGTCCAGAGCATAACTCAAAAAGCCTTTGACCTATCAACATGAAACTTCATAGATGGATAGATCTCACTCAGGAGGTGTACTGTGCATAAAAAATGATAACTCTACCCTTCATAATTTTTTAGTTATTGCGCTTTATTATTTTTCATAATTAATTTTTCACCTGCGTGGAGCATAACTCAAAAGTCTTTGAGAGGTAAACATGAAACTTCATATGTGGATTTAATTTATTGAAGAGGAATGCTGTGCGCAAGAATAATAACTCTTCCCTTTATAAATTTTGAGTTATTGCCCTTTGTTTTTTATACTTTTTGTTCGGAGCTTATCTCAAAAAGTGTAAGAGTAGGTGGATAGATCTCATCAGGAGGAGTGCAACACACAAGAACGATAGCTCTACCTTGCATATTTTTTTTTTGCCCTTTGTTATTTTTCATGCTTAATTTTTGCCCAGAGCATAACTAAAAAACCCTTTGAGATATCAACATGAAACTTCAAAGGTGGATAGATCTCATTAAGGAGAAGTGCAGCACACAAGAATGATAACTCTATTCTGCATATTTTTTCAGTTATTGCCCTTTGTAACTTTTCATGCTTTTTCCAGAGTATAACTCAAAGCATTTGAGATTTCAACTTGACACTTCATAGGCGGATAGATCTTATTGAGAAGGAATGCTGTGCGCAAGAATGATAACTCTTCCCTTTAAAAATTTTGAGTTATTGCCCTTTGTTTTTGTTCATACTTTTGTCCGGAGCTTATCTAAAATATTGTAAGAGTTATCAACTTGACACTTCAAAGGTGGATAGATCTCATTGAGGAGGAGTGCAGCTCACAAGAATGATAACGCTACCGTGCATATTTTTATTCTTTTTTATTTTTCATGCTTATATTTTGTCCAGACAGTTACTCACTAAGTATTTACTATATAAGGTATTCACTTCAAACTCAAAATATAACTAAGTCCCCGTCCATCCGTCTGTCTGTCCTTCCGTCCGTCCGTCTGTTTTTCCCTCCGATAATTTTGTCCGGAGCATATCTAAAAAAATGTTTGAGATATCACCTTCAAACTTCAAAGGTGAAAAGGTCATATTGAGGAGTGCAGTGTACAATAATGATAACTCTACCCTGCATAAGTTTTAAATTTTTGCCCTTTGTCCTTTTTAAAACTTAATTTTGGTCCAGAACATAACTCAAAAAGCCTTTGAGATATCTATATACAACTTCATACGTGAATATATCTCACTCAGGAGGTGAGCAATGCACAACAATGATAACTCTACCTTTCATATTTTTTACTTATTGCCCTTTGTTATTTTTCATACCTATTTTTTCAACTTAAAAAAAAAACTCTTCGAGATGCCAACATGAAACTTCAAAGGTGGATTTAATTTATTGAAGAGGAATACTGGGCGCAAGAATGATAACTCTTCCCTTTATAATTTTTGTGTTATTGTTATTTTTCATACTTTTTGTCTGGAGGTTATCTCAAAAAGAGTTAGAAGTATCAACTTGAAACTTCATAGGTGGATAGATCTCATTGAGGTTGAGTGCAGCATACAAGAATGATAACCTATCCTGCATTATTTTTCTGCTATTGCCCTTTGTTATTTTCAGCCATCATTATTCACATAGGTTTTAAATCTGTAATCACTTCAGCCATCAGTTTTCATTACCAAAAGACCTTTTTAGATGGAATTATTCTGCTCTACTACATAAACATTCTTTTTTATGAGCAAGCACATTCGGCGGGGATGACCATGCTAACATGACCCTTTCTTTACAAATGGTTTTAATCTCAAAAAAGTTTAAATTAAATTTAAATTAATTCATATGTACTGTTTATTTTAATAATTTATTTGTTATTTTCCTTTTAAGATCCCCAACCAACCCACGTTTTAAAATTGGACAAACAAGCGTTATTGGCGATGTCCGTGTTATACAAAACAACACATTGCGAGTTGTCTGCAAAAGCAGAAGTAATCCTTTATCTAACTACACATGGACTGGTCCAGGTTTTTCTGGCAAAGGTGATACTTTAGAAATAGCAAGCGTTAAAATAAGCGATCATGGTAAATATAAATGCATGGTGTCAAACAGGATGATAAGAACGAATGCTTCATATGAAGACGGAAGTAATTCATCATCATTCAATTTAAAAGGATTGTGTAAGTACACACACCATTGCAGTAAACCAAACCAAAACAGAATGCTTTACTAACAAGAAGAATAGGAAATACTTACTCATCAAAATAACACACATCATACTATCGTAATCTGTTACATAATTATATTCATTTAATGGACCTTGATGCCTGCACATTTAAGTGCATTGAACGCCGCCTTTCCTTGTTGATCTTGTTTATCAAATTTTCAATTAAAACGAGTCTGCAATTTTCATGTTATTTTGTTGTTATGCCCCCTTCGAAAAAGAGGGGGTATATTGTTTTGCTAATGTCAGTCTGTCTGTCGGTCTGTCGGTCGGTCTGTCGGTCTGTCCGTCGGTTGACCACATGGTTTCCGCTGATTATCTTAAAAAGTATTTGTCACAAAATCTTCATTTTTCACATAGTGATTGGTCATAACTATTAGATGACCCCTATTGATTTTGGGGTTACTAGGTCAAAGGTCAAGGTCACTGGGGCCTAAAATGTCAAAATGGTTTCCGCTGATTATCTTGAAAAGTATTCATCACAAAGTCTTCATATTTCACATAGTGATTGGTCATAAATATTAGATGACCCGTATTGATTTTAAGGTTACTAGGTCAAAGGTCAAAGTCACTGGGGCCTTAAATGTCAAAATGGTTTCCGCTGATTATCTTGAAAAGTATTCATCACAAAGTCTTCATATTTCACATAGTGATTGGTCATAACTAGTAGATGACCACTATTGATTTAAGGGTCACTAGGTCAAAGGTCAGTCACAGGGGATTTAAATGTCAAAATGGTTCCCGCTGATTATCTCGAAAAGAATTATCACATAGTCTTCATATTTCACATAATGATTGCTCATAACTAGTAGATGACACCTTTTGATTTTAGTGTCATTAGATCAAAAGTCAAGGTCACAGTGGCCTTAAATGTCAAAAAATTGTTTCCGCTGATTATATTAAAAAGTATTCATCACAAAGTCTTCATATTTCACATAGTGATTGGTCATAACTAGTAGATGACCCCTATTGATTTAAGGGTCACTTGGTTAAAGGTCAAGGTCACAGAGGCCTTAAATGTCAAAATGGTTCCCGCTGATTATCTTAAAAAGTATTCATCACAAAGTCTTGATATTTAATATAGTGATTGGTCATAACTTGTAGATGATTCCTATTGATTTTGGGGTCATAAGGTCAAGGTCAATGTCACAGGGTCCTTAAATGTCAAAATGGTTCCCGCTGATTATCTTGAAAAGTCTTCATCACAAAATCTTCTTATTTCACATAGTGATTGGTCATAACTAATTAATGACCCCTATTGATTTTGGGGTCACTAGGTCAAAGGTCAAGGTCACAGAGGCCTTTCTTGTCACAATGGTTTCTGCTGATTATCTTGAAAAGAGTTCATTACAAAGTCTTCATATTTCACATAGTGATTGGTCATAACTAGTAGATGACCCCTATTGCTTTTGGGTTCACTAGGTCAAAGGTCAAGGTCACAGGTGCCTTAAATGGCAAAATGGTTTCCGCTGATTATCTTGAAGAGTATTCATCACAGTCTTCATATTTCACATAGAGATTGGCCATAACTAATAGCTGACCCCTATTGATTTTGGGGCCACTAGGTCAAAGTCACAGGGGCTTTAAATGTCAAAATGGTTTCAGCTGATAATCTTGAAAAGTAATAATTGCAAAGTCTTCATATTTCACTGAGTGATTGGTTATTACTAGTAGATAACCCCTATTTATTTTGGGATCACTAAGTTAAAGATCAAGGTCACAAGGGCCTTAAATGTCAGAATGGTTTCCACTGATTATCTTGAAAAGTATAAATCACAAAGTCTTAATATTTCACACATTGATTGTTCGTAAGTGGTAGATGACCCTTATTGATTTTGGGGTCATAAGGTTAATGATCAAGGTCACAGAATCCCTGAATGGTAAAATGATTTCGACTTATTATCTTGGTTATTTTTTAACACAAAGTCTTCATATTTCACAAAGTGATTGGTCATAACTAGTAGATGATCCCTATTGATTTTGGGGTTACTAGGTCAAAGGTCAAAGTCACAGGGGCTTTAAATGAATGTAAAAATGTTTTTCGCTGATTATCTCGAAAAGTATTCATCACAAAGTCTTTATATTTCACATAATGATTGGTCATAACAATAAGATGACCCCTCTTGATTTCGGGGTCACTAGGTCAAAGGTCAAGGTCACTGGGGCCTTAAATGTCAAAATGGTTTCAGCTGATAATCTTGAAAAGTATTAATTGCAAAGTCTTCATATTTCACATAGTGATTGGTCATTACTAGTAAATAACC